AGTCAATTCGATACGTGAGCCAGCAATACAACATTCCGAAAACAAACTTATTCAGATATCTCGGCAAATTAGATGAGGGCAATGTGAACGTAGCCACTACTGATGCCAATGTGTTGAAGGATTTGCTCGGTCCCATGTCCAAGACTGGTCCGAAAACGGTAAATTTAATATTTTAAAAACGGAAAACGGTTTCCATATTTTAGATAAAACTGATAATAAACATATTTTTCTCCAGCTTTTCTCCGCCGAACAAGAAGAGGCTCTCATGAAATATATCTTGCATGCTACTGAAATACACTATGGTCTTAGCATTGTCGAATTAAAGAGATTGGCTTATGAATATGCGAAAAAGATCAAGATTGAATATCCACCGGAATGGGACAACAATTGCCAAGCAGGCAAGCATTGGTATTATTTGTTCATGAAACGCCACCCGAATTTATCTTTGCGTAAGCCTCAACAAGTCAGTGCAAATCGTGCAAAATCGTTCAACAAAAAAAATGTTGATGATTTTTTCAAAAACCTCTCCGATGTGTTTGATGAAAAGCATTTCGAGCCTCATCGAATTTGGAACATGGACGAATGTGGCCTTCCAACCGTTCCGACCAAACCTGTTAAACATATCGCCGAAAAAGGAACGAAACAGGTCGGCACAAGAACATCAGCTGAGAGAGGCACCAATGTATCACTGGCATTGGCGGTAAACGCCAGCGGCAATTCAATTCCGGCCTTTTTCATCTTTCCGAAGCTGATTATGCGTGAGGTTTGGTTGACACACGCTGGTCATGGTGCGGGTGGCGATGCGAATGGTAGCGGTTACATGGCAAGCGACACTTTCGTAAAATGGATGCGCCATTTCATCAAAAATTCGGGCGCAAAGAAAGATTCGCCAACTCTCCTATTGCTCGATAATTTCACGGCTCATTTGTCGATCGAAGCAATTGATCTGGCATTGGAACACGACATTACAATGGTTTCCTTTCCACCCCATTGTACGCACAAGTTGCAGCCATTAGATGTGTCGGTCTTCGGGCCATTGAAGACGGCGTTAACCAGACAGCATGATGCGTGGCAAAAGAGCAACCGCGAAGTCAAATTCGATTATCACCACATCCCTCAAATCGCCGATATTGTCCTCGACACTACCGTCACGCCAAAGAACATCAAGGCTGGTTTCAAGGCTTGCGGAATTTTAAAAAATAAAAATAGCATAAATTCAAGTTTTTCTTTTTTCTATAGTATTCTAGTGCTCAAGACCTTCCTCCCTATATATATATAGGGGGGTTATAGGGGGGGTCTCCATACATTTTTTTGCCAAAAAACGACTACTTCGATTTTTTTTTTCGGAGTAGTCGTTTTTTTGATCCCCCCTAGGAGGAAGGTCTTGAGCACTAGAATACTATAGAAAAAAGAAAAACTTGAATTTATGCTATTTTTATGGAAAATTTGAAATTCTAAGATTCGACCCTATTTTGTGGGTATTTTCCCTTGACCCAATGGGTCACCCCTGTACCTGTAAACTATCTCGGCTCTACTATCCCACGGTACAAAAAGAAATTCATTTCCCTTTGTTTTTGTCAAAAATTTGGCTATTTATAAAAAATCCGGACTTCCATACAAAATAAAAAATCGAGGAAAAAAATACATATAATTAGTTACCATACCCTATTGGGTCACATGGGAAAACTAATGATGACAGTCGATAGAGCATAAAAAACGAGACTATGAACATGGAGGGCACCAGGGGTCGAATGCCCTCCCTAACCCTTAAATATGGGTTCGAAAAGAAAAAAACGAATTTTCATTGGATACCCTTATTTAGAGGGTGGGGGAGGGTCAGGTGGCAAAAATAATGATGCCAAACGATAGCTCGTCAAAATCGAGTCTCTGAACATAGGGGGGGGTTTGGGGGGCTAAAACCACTCCCAGAGCCTTAAATCGCTTCTCTAAGGAAACATCTCGAATGGAAAACACGATTTTTCACCCAAAGCACCCTCCCTTTGGCAACAAGGAGGGGTCAGGGCGGAAAATTGATGATGCCAATAGATAGCAAAAAAAAAGTTGGCCTATCAACATGTCAATCCCAGAGTCGTCAATGCTCTCTCCATACCTTAAATCTGGCTTCCAAATTATACCCCCCCCCCCCCCCCTTGCACACGTGTGAGCGTGATACAGATTTGTATTTCATTCAAATGGAATCACAGTTTCGTAATGCGGCAATCACACAAGATCAAACCAAATACGATTATGTTGTTGGCTCACTTGACTGTAATACGCTTGCAAATGTCGCGGACATCGTACGCACACCACCAGCTTCGAACAAATATGAAGCGATTAAATCGAGATTAATCAAAGATTTTACCGATTCGGAAAACAAGAAATTAAACCGACTCATCAAGGAGTGTGAATTGGGCGACCAGAAACCTTCACAATTGCTTCGTCAAATGCGTGATTTATCGGGTGGAGCATTGAAAGACGGGGCAATCAAAGCATTTTGGCTCGAACGATTACCTGAAAGTGTACGGGCCGTGGTATCAATTTCCGAGGGAGATTTGGACCGCTGCGCTCAACAAGCCGACAGAATGATGGAAATATGCAATTTCAGGTCAGTTTATTCGGTACAATGTCAACAATCGACATCAAATGATCCCAGTTCACTCAAGCAAACCATCGATGCATTGCGCAAAGAAATCAACGAGATTAAATCGAACAAATCATCGAACAATCAATGAGGTCGAAGCCAAACACCGGCACACAACGGTAAGGAGCGCAGTCGCACTCGCTCACAGAGCCAGGTGAATAAATATCCGAATTGCTATTATCACCATCGATTTGGCGCCGAGGCCAAAAAGTGCACTCAACCATGTTCATTCAAGAAGTCGGGAAACTAAAAACCGCTTCGCCACCGACGGTAAGCGAAGCGGCCAGCAAAAAGAAATCACGCCGTCTTTTTATAATCGATCGTAAAACTAACCTTAAATTTTTGGTTGACACGGGTGCCGATTTTTCAATTTTGCCAGCATCATTTTTCAAAGAGAAATTAAAACCGACTAATTATTCATTGTTCGCTGCAAACGGATCGCTCATCAAAACATACGGTAACAAATTGCTTACAATCGATTTTGGACTTCGAAGAGAATTCACGTTTAGATTCATCATTGCCGATGTGACTAAGCCAATTTTGGGTGCGGATTTTCTTGACAGGTTCGGTTTGTTAGTTGATATCAAAGGCAAGTCACTCATCGACCGCGAAACCAAACTTGAGACAAAATGCGTTTCCGAATACACAACGTATGAGCCGGTGTTTTCTATCAACAGCGATAATGTTTGCAAAGCGTTGCTAACCGAATTCAAAGAGCTGACAACACCGACTTGTTACGACAAAACAAAAGCAGCGAAAACATCCGTTCGACATCAAATCATCACAAACGGACAACCAGTTTTCTCACGTGCACGTCGTTTAAATCAAGAGAAACTCACCAACGCCAAAAAAGAATTTGAATACATGATCAACATGGGAATTTGTCAACCGTCACAAAGCGAATGGGCCAGTCTAGTGATGGGCAATTTACCCGGTATTTAAATTTGGGTAAATTTCTTGGGTAAATACCCATTTATACCGGGTAAATACCCAATTTGTTGGGTATTTATGGGTATTTTCGAAATAGCCACAAAAGTAGCAAAATTTTAATAAAAAACTGTTAAAAAGTAATAATAATATGAATGAAAGACACAGAAATTTCATTTTAATTGTCATCTAAACTTTTTTCTGAACTTTTATCATGTCACATTCGCTTTGAACTGGTACTGGTGTTGGTGCTTGCTTCTTCATTCTTTCGCTTTCTACTTGTAGCCTGCATCAACTTATAGTTGTGTGCGATGTTCATAATTATACCCGATGTTTCCGTTGTCAAACGATTTCCTTTCTGTGTCTGAAATTCACACTGTGAATGAACCAAATGTACTTTCTGTTTGTGTAGAAGTCAATGAAATCGTGAGAATTTTTTCTGCTATTTTATCAAGAGCAAAAAATGATTTTCACCAAACCAATGGACTAACATTTACACAAGAGACTCAAACGAAGTCCGTGCCCCAAATTTTTGCTTTTACTCAATAATTTATCAATTGAGTCATCACCGCTTCTTCGTCGAGTTTTACTTTTTTGGTTGATAAAACAATAAAACTAATGCTGCACCTATCATGATCGGTTTCATTATTTTATATTTGCGCTCTTGAACAGATTTTTCAGCATTTTTTTAATTACAAGCATTAAAAACATTCGAAGATTTAGCCAACGAATCCACTGTTGCAAACATATTGCTCAATAGTTTATGTGATTTATGAATATCTACGTCATCAGTTTCCAATTGTGTTCAATATTTCGTGAGGTCCTTCAAATTTCAACCAAAATTGATCGTCCAATATGAATATTTTCACATCGCCTGGCAATTCTGATTCTTCATCGTTCGCGTTTATTTAATCAAAATCGGCTGAAATATCTGGATCAGCTACCATTAACCGTAAAATTTCTTTTTTTGCGATCAACGATTCGAGAGCCTGTAGTTCGTATACCCATCGAGTTTCAGAGGGTAGTTTAAGAGTCACTTGGGTCTCCATTTCATGTTGCTTTTGGCTGATAAACTATATAGGACGTGGCATTTTTATTTTATTCGTGACTTTTTTTGCTTTGAAAAATTTTCGCTCGAGGAAAGTAAATTCAGTGCATGAGCAACACAACCAAATGTGTGAATATGCGGTTATTTTTCGGTGCCAATGAGACCAACTTGGATATTACGCTACATTATCGTACAAAAACAGCTGAAACTTGAATAATCTGAATTGAATTCAACAAAAATTCAAAGAAATCACCTATTTTAAAAATACCCATTTTTGGGTATTTATTCAGCCCTTCAGGTAAATACTCGGTATTTATTCGGGTGGGTAAATATTGCCCATCACTAGGCCAGTCCATTAAACATGGTTCCGAAAAAGGATGGACTCTGGCGACCGTGTGGAGATTATCGTCGTTTGAATGCTCAAACAGTTCGTGATCGTTACCCAGTCGAACATATTCGCGATTTCACGCAAAACCTGAACGGGGAAACAATTTTTTCGGTGCTCGATTTAGAAAAAGCATATTTCAGCATTCCAATCGCCGAAGAAGATCGAAAAAAGACAGCCATTATCACACCATTCGGTCTTTTTGAATTCAACGTCATGACATTTGGGCTGTGCAATGCTGCACAAACATTTCAACGATTTATGGATCAAGTGTTGTTTGGCCTGGACTTCGTTTTTTGTACATCGACGACATTTGCATCGCGTCAAAGAACGAAGAAGAACATTTCAAGCATCTTCGTATTGTTTTGGAGCGGTTACGTGAACACGGTTTAAAAATCAACGTCGCTAAATGTGCATTCGCGCAAGAGGTAGTATTATTCCTTGGTCATCAGGTCAGTAAATCGGGCATTCGACCATCAACCAACAAAGTCGACGCCATCGCCAAGTTTCCCAAGCCAGAAACAGCAAACAAACTTCGTAAATTCCTCGGAATGATCAACTTTTATCGAGACTTTATTCCAAATGCAGCTCAAACTCAGGGTCGACTACGTGTTCTTATCAAAGGTAACAAGAAAAATGACAAATCGCCAGTTATTTGGACCGAAGATGCTGAAAGAGCGTTTGAGGAATGCAAACAAGCATTGATCACAGCAGCAACACTAGCTCACCCATTGCCAAACGCAAAACTGGCGCTTCACGTTGACGCTTGTGATTTTTCGGTTGGTGCAGCACTTCATCAGATCAATGGCTAACAACTCGAACCACTTGGATTCTATTCAAAACGAATGACCGACCGACAAAAGCGTTACAGCACATACGATCGCGAATAATTGGCCATTTATCAAGCAGTCAAACATTTTAAACACATGATTGAGGGTAGAATCTGCACAATTATGACCGATCACAAGCCAATCACATTTGCATTCCTTCAAAATCCAGAGAAAGCATCACCACGTCAATTGAATCATTTGGATTTCATCGGTCAATACACCACCGACATTCGTTACATCCCAGGAAAAGACAACATCGTAGCCGATTTACTTTCCCGCATCGAAAGTGTTTCAAACTGCGAACCAATTAATTACGAAGAGTTGGCCGAAAATCAGAAAATCGATCAAGAATTAAATGATTTTTTGAAAAACAACACGTCAACATTACAACTAAAACTAATCAATATCCCGAACTCGGCAAAAGCTATTGTTTGTGACGTTTCAACGAAACACGTACGACCTTTCATCACCAAAGATTTTCGTAAACAAGTTTTCAACTCCGTTCACAACTTGGCGCATCCGAGTAAAAAGTCAACAATCAAACTGATCAGCGAGCGTTTTGTATGGCCGAACATGAAAAAGGACGTCACCGAAATGGTAAAAACTTGTATTTCATGTCAAAAATCGAAAATTGCTCAACACAACAGAGCAGCACTTCAAAGTTTTTCTTCGCCAAGCAAGCGTTTCTCATGGATTCACATCGATTTGGTTGGACCACTGCCAATATCAAATGGTTATCGCTACTGTTTGACTTGCATCGATCGATTCACCCGATGGCCAGTCGCCATCCCTATTGAAGATATTCACGCCGACACCGTCGCGAAAGCTTTGATCAACAGCTCCGGGACGCTTTTATTCTTTGATCAACGGTTGGATAACGTTTTACGGTGTACCAGCTAAGATTACAACTGACCAAGGCAAACAATTCGAAGCGAATCTTTTCAACGAATTAGCGCGTATCATTGGTGCAAAACATCTCCGTTCAAGTCCACGTCATCCACAGGCCAACGGTATGATTGAGCGTTTCCATCGTACCATGAAGTCAGCAATCAAATGTCAAAACAATGAACGTTGGACTGAAACATTGCCAATGATCATGCTTGCTCTTCGCTGCGTTTTCAAAGACGACATCCAAGCAACACCATCAGAAATGGTTTATGGCGAAACACTCAAATTGCCATGCGATTTCTTTGAGACCATCAACGACGATAGTTTTGGCACCGAATTTGTTCAACAACTACGCGAATTAATACGAAAAATTCAACCTGTTCCAGCATCGAATCACGCCAATAACAAAGTTTTCATTCAAAGAGACTTGCAAACCTGCACACACGTTTTCTTGAGAGACGATGCAGTTCGACCGCCTCTCAAAGTACCATACGATGGTCCGTACGAAGTCTTAAGCCGAAACGACAAAACATTTGAGCTTCAAATCAAAGGTCGCAAAGTTCGCGTTAGCATCGATAGAGTCAAAGCAGCATTTTTGCCAATTGACGAACAACCGCCATCACACACCGTCGTACCAAGGACGAACGAAAATCAAATTACCAGCAATTCAACCGATACCCCAAGCGAGCAACCAAAGACAACGAGAAGCGGAAGAGTCATCAACAGACCCAAGCGATACGTCTCTTTCGCTGATAATTAGATCAATAATAAGTTTTCATTTTTCCGTGACTTCACTACCATTCAGCCACTGGTGGGGGAGTACTGTGGCGGTTAGCCTTTAACAAGTTCAATTTTAAAATTAAATTCAAATTGCCCGCCAGTATTCATTTGATAGTTACAATTTTATCTTGACCATTTCACGCGCTGACAGCGCTAACATACAGTTAGTTGACAGTTCAATTTTAAGTTACACAATACATACATATATTTTCACATATAGCTTTCAAGTTCAGTTGAGTCAGTCGAGTTAATCCATTCACATAACACATTTCATATACATATTTCCAGACGATATTTAATAAAGAAATAAATAGTTTTTTAGTGGAGTTTCATGCATTTAACTCATTTGTAATAACCCACATATTCATTAATTTCCTGTTTAACAGTATTTTATAAAGGTATCAATATGTAGTATGTATGATACTATGTGCAATACTG